AGGCATGGGGTTTTCTTGGATTTGTTCAGAGGAGTTTTGCCACTGCCTTCCCCTGAGGCTGAGAGCATGTGACTTGCCCAAGGTCACCCAGTGGGTTTCATGGTCAAGCTGGGAATCGAACCCTGGTCTCTAGAGTTGTAGTCCAACATTCAAACCACTATACCACACTGGCTCTCTATCTCTTTCCCCACATCCCATAAACCTGCGTATTGCCTCAAAAATACAGGAAGGACTGTGTGCCACTGCAAGTATTGAAATAAAGTTCGGCTGCCAGTCCAATTGGCTTCTGTCCATGCCATGGAGGAAAGTACCGTACCATCTTGTTGGCCAAACCCTGGTTGCATCTATAAATATGAGCTCATTCTTAGTAATGATTAGAAGACTGAAAAGAGGTATTTTAATCTTTCATTCAACACGATCACTGCAGCGTAGGTTTTACATTCAGATTAGGAACTGGTTGAGGCATGTGCATGTTTTTACAGTATCTGTCAAGCATTTCATTCAGGTTAAGCATCGCAGATCTCAAACTGAGCACGCCCTTCCTAGCAATGACAATGAGATTGACCCTAAAAGGCCACAATCCTCCACCCACTGACCGGCATGTAGGCCTCACTTGACTCCAAGGTGCCTACTTCTGAGTAAATATAGCATAAATGCAGAATAGTGCTGCATGTAATCCTGCTCAAGGAAAACACCCTCTCCAAAATCTCACTATTCCCCTGTCATCACCACTACGCACCGCCAAGCCTCATTCCGGACTCCGGCTGCTAAGTGACAGGCTATTTGCACATGCCTGTCCTGACCCAATTCTCACCTGTTACTGCAAAAATAAAATAAAGACAAAAAAAGACAAAAGTTCACACTGCAAAGCGGACAGGGGAGGGAGGGTTGTGCAGGTGGGGATGAGGGAGATAGTTTTCCCAGGAACACAGAAAGCTGACTTTTATGCAGTCATATATTAGCCAGCATGGCGTAGTGGTTTGAGCGTTGTGCAACTCTGGAAACCACAGTTCAAATTCCAGCTTGCCCGTGTAAACCCAGTGGGTGACCTTGGGCAAGTCACACTATCTCAGCCTCAGAGGATGGCAATGGCGAACCCCCTCTGAAGAAACCTGCCCAAGAAAACCCTGTGACAGGGTTGCCTTAGGGTCACCATAAGTCAGAAACACCTTGAAGGCACACAACAACAACAAACCATTGGTCCATGTAACCCTATCAACAATGCCTCTCCCGGTTATTGTCAAGATTATTTCCTAACCCTGGTATTCCCCATGTTAACCAGGCCTGATCCCTCCGTATCTTCTGAAATCTGACAAGACAGGGGTGTGTTCAGGATGGTATGGAGGAAGAGCATCACAGACTTGCTACCAACTGGCCAAAAAGGGGGGTGTGGTGTAGTTGTTTGAGTGTTGGACTAGGACTCTAGAGAGTAGGGTTCAAATTCTTGCTCCGTCACAAAAAAACAAAACAAAACACTGGGTGACCTTGGCCAAGTCAGAGTCTCTCAGCCTCAATGGCAAACCCCCTCTGAAGAAAACTGCCAAGAAAACCCTGGGATAGGGTTGTTTTAGGGTTACCCTAGGTTGGAAAGGACTTGAAGGCAAACAAAAATAACACCACACACATGGACAGAATCTTAAGCACTACGCTAGACGCTGCTGTGGTTGTGTGCCTTCAAGTCGTTCCTGACTTATGGCAACCCCAAGGCGACCCTATCATGGGAGTTTCATGGCAGGTTTAATCAGAGCGGGTTTGCCGTTGTCATTCTCTGAGGCTGAAAGAGTGTGACTTGCCCAAGGTCACCCCATGGTTTTCCATGGCTGAGCCAGGATTTGAACCCTGGTCTCCAGAGTCATAGCCCAACACTCAAGCCACACTACGCCATGCTGGCTTTCAAGCTGAACATGGACAGGAGGAAAAGAGAGTGGGCTAAAGAGACAGGCACACTTACCGGGATGTGGACTCGCAACATGCGCTTCTTCTGACTGCAACTTTTCTTGCTGCTGCTGCTGCTGCTGGAAGAGGCCTCTTTCTTCTTTTTGGTGTCCATGGCAGTGCTGCCCATCTCTCTGATGGCAACCCAACCTGTCCACTTCTGTGACCAGAGGCAGGGCCTGCCGGAACCTGTCTGGCAAGGTTGTCTCTGATGCAAAATACCTTCAGTGGGTCCTTTGAACTGCAGAGCCTCCGGTCACCCAGAAGGAAAAGGGAAAGGGATGTCAGTAGAAGGTGAAAGTTTGATGCTCACGGCTGGGCCTCCCAAGGGCAAGGGAGGATGGGTCGGAGAAGACGGTCAAGAAGCCTTTTCCACTCATGATCTCGAAAGAGAGAAGCCCAGGTCCTGGCAATCCTTTGGGACGCAAGAGCAGAGGGATCCCTTTGCCGCTTCCGAAAGAGAGCCCAGGATGCCAGGTGAGGGTCAAAGGTGCCAGGTAGGCATCTCCTCTCTTGTCAGTCTGCCTGAAAGGAGAAGGCCAAAAGGTGCATGGCCACAGAGGAGGAAACCAATGGGGCAACACCTTCTCCTCCAAAGAGAGAGCAACCCTTTCCCTGCCACCCTCTGCAGCGTCACTGTTTGGATCGGGTGCCCAAGTTGGTCCTCCTTACTGCCAGGCAAGAAAGAGGAGGAAGAAGAGGAGGAGGAGGAAGAAGAAGGGAGCCAAAGTGATGCAATTTGGCTTGGGAAGCTGGTGTCCTCTTCCTGCTGCAAAACAGACTCCCATGCCAAGGAGGATGCCTTTCCCAAGCTGTAAAGAAAAAGAAAAAGAAGGAAGGAAGGAAGGAAGAAAAAGAGAGAGCCAGGGTTCCTCTTTCAGGCTTTTTGCAAAGAGACACTCTCTCTGACAGCAGCTGCTGATCAGGAAGGCAAAAAGGGAAGGAGGGGAAGAGAGAAAAGCCAGCCCAGGGAGGGAGGTGCAGAGAGCCTGGTGTGGTTGTGTGTGTGGTTGTGAGTGTGTGTGTGTTGTTTTCCTGCAATCGAGGAGGAGAGGCAGCTGAGCAGGAAGTGCACAATCCCCCAAGGCAACTTTCTCTCTTGGGAAGGCAGCCAAGGCTGACCAGGCGTCCTCCTTTCCCAGGACATGCGCCCTACATTTAAAAAAACGAAACTCCTCCATTCTGTGCCTGGCTAAGAAGCATGCATCGACATTTCTGGGGAGTGTTTTTTGAGTTCCTCCAGAGTGAGCAGGCGTCCTCTTTTCCCAGGACACGCCCTACATTTTCAACCTTCAGGAGGACTTTCCAAAGTGGCCTACATTTTGAGTGTGGTTTTAAGTTAAGAAGCATGAACTCACATTTCTAGGAGAGTGTTTTTAGCTTGGCTTTGGTCGTCTCCTACATTTTTATTGAATGGCCTTTGTTTTATGGTGCCTTCTCGGGGGAAGGGGGTTTGTTAACCAGATGTCCTCTTTTTTTCCAGGACATGCCCTACATTTGCAACTTTGTGCCCAGGAGGGCTGTCAAAAAGTCTTCCATTCTGAGCATGACTGAGAAGCATGGATTTAGATTTGTATCAGTGTTTCTAGCCTTGCTTTCAGCATGTCCTCCATTTTCTTGAATGTCCTCCATTTTGAGGTGCTTTGTCCTCAGGGGTGACCAGATTTACTCCTTTTCCAGACATGTCCTACATTTTCAACCTCCTGTCCGGGAGGGATTTCAAAAAGTCCTCCATTTTGTGCATGGATGGCCATCTGTCAGGGGTGTTTTGACTGTGTATTCCTGCATGGCGGTGGGTTGGATTGGATGGCCCTTGGGGGGTCTCTTCCAGCTCTAGGACTCTATAACAGAAATATCTTTCTCCTGTTTGATTTTTAATACCTTTGCCTGATTAAGAAGCCAGTGGAGCTTTGAAAGCTTGCATCATATTTTTGTGCCTTAAAGGCATTTCCTCTTCAAATCCTTCCAGGATCCGCAAGCTCTGCACTTTGTACCTTGGTTACACTCTCTGTGCACTCAGAAGGAGGCCCTCTGAACCTAAAAAGATTGATTTGAAACATACTTCTCAGCATAGTTTCCCCCAGGGTGCTGCTTTGTAAGTGTGTTGGACAACAGTATCCGTAATCCCTATTATGTCTTGCTGTGGAGGGAGTTGTAGTCCAGCATCTAGAGAGAGCTACCTTGGGGCAGGTGATGCTAATAAAAGCTTTGGCAGCCCAAGAAGCTTGACCACCAGTTTCCAATCTCTTCCGTCTAATCTGCACTATAGAAAGAATTCATTTTGACACCACTTTAAGTGCTGTAGCGTCATGCTGTAGAATCCTGGGATTTGTAGTTTCACAGGTCTTTAGCCTTCTCTGCCAAAGAGTATTGGTGCCTCACAAAACTACAAATCCCAGGATTCTGCGGGTCTAATGCATCATGACTTCTCTACGAATTTGCAGAAACTCTTCATTTGAAATCCCTTCAAATGTGTTACGTACTTTCCAAAAGCCAGGATTACTAAATCTGCTTCTCTCTGATGACGCACTAAACACTCTACACATTTTCTACACTAAACACATTTTGTCTGGTGAAGGACTATGAGTCAGCACACTTGTCAGAGTTGAGAAGGATTTTTTACACACGGCTGTAGCTGCACCAAAGGTGGGTCTTGCAGCACACAAGGCGTACATGCATGGAAAGGTTATGAGGCTGCATGCTTTAGTGGTTTGACCATTGGATTGCAATGCTAGAGACCAGGGTTTAAATCTCCCACTCAGCCATGGGAACCCACTGGATGACCTTTGGGAAAGTCATTCTCTCTCAGCTTCAAAGGAAGGCAAAAGCAAATCTCGCCTTTGAACAAATCTTTCCAAGAAACCTCTGTAATAGGTTCACCTTAAATTTTTGTTTGCCTTTTTTGTTTGGCTTGTTGTTGCGTGCCCTCAAGTTGTTTCTGACCTATGGCAACCCTATCACGGGGTTTTCTTGGCAAGTTTTGTTAGAGGAGGGTTGCCGTTGTCATTACCATCCTCTGAGGCTGAGAGAGTGTGACATGCCCAAGATCACCCAGTGGGTTTCCATGGCCAAGCCGGGATTTGAACCCTGGTCTTCAGAGTCCTAGTCCAACATTCAAACCACTACACCATGCAGGCTTTGTTTGGCATCCATCTTTATTGAAACTGTGGAAGTTTAAGGCTACAGACCTTCAATTGCAGACAGTCTAGTTTGCTGCCTTAGTGCTGTTTTTGTATACTTTCCCTTCCACTCTGGAGGTATGCAGGTCTGTACCTGGGATGGGAAACTATCTGGGAAGGGTGGGGTGTACCTTCTAACTCATTAAATTGTCAAAATCACGTTGTCTTCTTCCTGTTGATACAGCATGTTTGTTGTGACTAATCGTCAATGCCACCCAGAATGCCACAAAATCAGAAGCCTGGAAAGCACTGCCGTAAGGGAGCTCTCAACTGCCGTCAAGATGACTTCAGCTTATGGCAACCCCATGAATGAGAGACCTCCAAGTCACTCAGTCCTCAGCAGCCCTCCTTAGGTCTTGCAGAGTCAGGGCTGTGGCTTCCCTGACCAAGTCCATCCATCTGAAATGTGGTCTTCCTCTTTTCCTACCGCCTTCTGCCTTACCAACATTATTGTCTTTTCTAGTGGGACATGTCTTCACATAATCATAGAGTTGGAAGAGACCACATAGGCCATCCAGTCCAACCCCTTATGATATGGCCAACGTGCAGTTGGACCTCCATATTCGCAGGTGATCCATTCTGGATCCTCCTGTGGATACAAAAAAACACAGGACTTCAAGTCCCATTCTCCCTAATGGCCATTGGGGACAATGGGGCTTGCCTTTTGCGGATGCTCAGATCCGCAGATGGCAAACCCATGGATACAGAAGTCCAGCTGTATGTCAGCCTCAGCACCTTTGGCTTCTAGGGAAAGTTCAGGCCTGATGTGTTCTAGGAGCCATTTATTTGTCTTTTTAAAATAGTATCCTCAGAACTCTTCCCCAGCACCACATCTCAAATTAGTTCATTCTCTTCCTTTCTATACTGTCCACCTTTCACAACCATACATACAAATGGGAAATACAAAGGCATGGACATTCTTGACTTTAGTCTTCAATGATATATCTTTATACTTCAAGATCTTGTCTAGTTCCTTCATAGCTGCTCTTCCAAATCCTAGTCATCTTCTGATGTCTTGACTGCAGTCTCGGTTCTGATTAATGACTGAGCCAAGGTATGGAAAATCTTGAACTATTTAAATGTCTTCATCATCTGTTTTAAATTTATGTATATCAACTGTGATCATTATTTTTGTTTTCTTAAATGTTCAACTGTAAACCTGCCTTTGCACTTTCTTCTTTTACTTTCTTCAGTAATCGTTCCAAGTTTTTGCTATTTTCTGCTAGAGGTATGATGTCGTCAGCATATCTTACATTGTTGATGTTCTTTCCTCCAATGTTCACACCTCCTTCCTCCAAATCTAACCCTGCTCTACGTATTATATGTTCAGCATTCAAGTTAAACAGATAGGGTACAGGTTTACCTGCCCTCCTTGTCAACTGGAAACCATTCCATTTCTCCATATTCTGCCCTAAAAGTAGCCTCTTATCCTGAGTACATCATGCATCAGGACACATGTGGCCAAGCAAAAAGTGGTCCCAGTGGCAAAGTTTATTAATGAAGAATAAAACGCAAGCTTGGAGAAGCTGCGGCAGTTTGCTTTTGTCTGAACTAACTGGGAAGGGCAACCTTCTGCCCCTTCCTGTCCTCTATTCTTGGTGAGTTAATTGAGTACTAACTACAGTTTGCAACAACTGAAGTAAACTGAAGGGAAAGGGGGAAGTGGGAGTGAGAGAGAGAAACTGGGACATTTTAAAAGTTGCTGGAAAAAGTGTGACAACCAAAAATTAGCTAGGACTTTCCCTACCAAACAGGGGTGGTTTGAAGGTATGCTCCTGGTGTGAGTATTTGTGTTAAATTACCCCCGTGGCACAAGACCTTGTTTGCACAAACCCCTAGCAATTGTGCCTATTATAGAGCTTTCAACATAGCCTTGCCCTTCCCTGGCAAAGGTCCAAAGTTTACTCCTTGCAATAAATGTAAATTCACATTGGTTCTGAATATTCCAGGCATCAGTCAACAGGGACATTGCCTTTTGGGAGGATACCATTCAGCTGAGATTTCCTTATGGTTTTATATTTGCCATAACCCAATATTATAGTGTGTCTGCTGTGTTGTAGCAATCTGAAAGTCTTCCATAACTCATGGATGTTCATACTCCTGACCCCAACATTTAGAAGACTTTCAAGCATTTGTGTGAGATGAAAGAGACAGGCCATTATTCCAGTGGAGGGTCATAAACACTGGCCTTATTGACATTACTGCAATGCTTGCTAAAGCTGGCCTTGCCATAAAGCCCAGTGGAACAATCTGCTTCAGGCGGCACAACAAGGGGAGGATAAATAATGCAGCAAATTTTAAAATGTTGGCCCTCGAGGGAAGTGTTACCGCTTGGATTCTGCTTCAGGCAGCAAATTGCCTTGGGCAGGTGCTTGCATTGCAGATGATCTTGGCCAGCAACTTTTGAGGACTGCAGTAGGTGTGTTGTGAACCCTTCATGCTCCATTTCATATCCTCTTACTATGTTTATATATTCAGAAGCCACCATGTTTAACTCATCAGGATCTTTGGCTAGAGAGGGATTTAATTCCAAAGTTTATTTCCCCAGCTCCAAATCCAAGCTCTACCTACTACATGAAGGGTGGGGAATTTCTTTCAGCCTGAGGACAGAGTTCAGTTTCAGAGAACTTCTGGGGGGCACATTCCTGTGATGGGTAGGACCACAAGCAAAAGGTTGGCATGTGAATTTTATTGTTAATTATAATCAAGTTAGCTTTGATGTATGGCAATCCCATGGATGAGAGACATCTAAAGCCCCCTGGGTCCTTTCACACCGTAAATACAGTGCTATGATTACACTTTAACCACTATGACAACATCCTATGGAAGCCTGGGATTTGCAGTGTAGGGAGAAGGATTTAGTTTATCATTCAGAGAATTCTAGCACTTCACCAAACTACAAACTCCAGAATTCCATAGGAAGTTGCAGTGGCCAGTGAAGTGGAGTTAAAGTACTGCAGTTGTGTAGTGGGAAAGGGCCACCTGTTATTAACAGCCCTGTTAAGATCTTGCAAACTTCTTTGAGTCTGTCCACTTGTTTCCTTTTTCCTGCTCCCTTCCATTTCGATTAGCTTTATCAACCCAGGCCTTCAGTGTTAAGTTACAGCAGTACCTAAGCAATAAGACTTGAGGTGAGAAAGAATGCTTGAGCAATAAATGATAAAGCTTGAACTGGAAAGGAATGGGATTATTCTGTGGCCTGTCCTACTGTAACAATGGAGATTATCACACAGGGAAAAGGATGTCCTTTTCCCGTCCTTATCGCACAATTGAATGAAGATTATCTGACGATGTCACACTTATCCCGTCATTATTTCATCTGTCAAGTGGAATTATCACCCACTGTGTGAAAGATTATCAGACCACATTGCAATTATCCTGTAATTATCCCATCAGTGAAGTGGAATTGTCCCATCATTTTTCATTAACAGAAGTTTCCATTATTGAAAAGTGACAGGACCATTCCACTTCATTGACAGGATAATGACGGGATAAGCATGACGTGTGTCATCGTCTTTCGCACGATCATGCAATAAGGACGGGATAAGGACAGGAGCAATCCGCTTCTCTCCCATCCTCCCCCCCATCTGACAATCTCCTATGTGTGCCTGCCAACAACAGGCAAGGTACAGGACAGCTGCCCCCAGAATTCTTTACTAAATATGCACGAACAAGGAAAACAGAGCAAAAGGGGGAGAGCAGCTAAGGTTGCTTCACCAGTTACCCCCAGCATGTTAAAAGAGAAAGAAAAAAGCATAGAATTCTTAGGCTGCATCTGCACTGCAGGAATAATTCAGCTTGACACTGCTTTAACTGCCATGGCTGAATGTGATGGAATTCTGGGATTAGGAGTTTTTGGGTTTTTTTTTAGAGATTTAGCCTTCATTTGTTAGAGAGCCTTGGTGCCATAACACTCTGCAAATCCCAGGATTCTATAGCATGAAGCCATGGCAGTTAAAGCAGTGTCAAACTGCATGATTTGTGCTGTGCAGATATTTGGCCATACACATGGAACTCATAAGAAAACTGGAACCTGTTGAATGTAGAAGTCTTCATTGGATGTGCTTTGGAAGGAAACCTTGAGTTGTCTCTGGAAGGTTCAACGTTATTATTTTTTACTTATGCAAGGTTTACCTGACCTGCAAGATTTACCTTGTTTCATTTCACATGTGCATATTATTTGTTGAATAAAATGTTAGCTGAAAGATGTTAAACTGCTCCTCTTTTTTTATGAACCGTAGGAACCTATTCCTGTTTTCCCATATTATTTCTGCCTCTGGTAATACATTTTCTGTGAAAGAAGTAATTCCCAGGTACACATCTATGAGGTATGGTTGTATTCTATAGAGCAGGGGTAGGCAACCTACGGCCCGGGGGCCAAATGCGGCCCCTGAGGCCTTTGGACCAGCCCCAGGCTGGTCCTGCTGCTGCCGCCGCCCGCCATGATAATATTGATTATTGTTGTTATTACTTGTTCTTGGGGTTTTCTTGGCAAAATCTCCACAGGAGTTTTGCCATGGCTTTTCTGGGGCTGAGAGAGTGTGCATGCATATTTTTTAAATTTGTTTTATTTTATTATTATTATTATTATTTGCTTCGGCCCCCCCAATTGTATGAGGGACAGCAACCTGGCCCCGGCTCAAAAAGGTTGCCTACCCCTGCTATAGAGGGATGGTGGAAAAAAACAGGGTGCAATAAGAAGTGAGAATGAAATGAATACTCCCCCTTTGCCACCAATTCATAAACAAGCAACCTGGCTTCAAATCTGTGACATCTGAATCTCAGCCAAGGACATCTTCCTTCTGTTGAGACTTCCTTGGTGGGTGAGTGGTTGTAACTGATGCAGTGTGGCAGCGTTTTCTATGCTTTTCTTGCCAACCAGATTTTATTGAAGTGGCTCTTTAAGGCATTCAGCATATCTGCCTTTAGAATCAGCCAGCTGAAAAGGATGTCCATAA